ACTCGTGGCAGTGTAGCCGAGTGGTTAGCGTGTCAAGCTACCGTCTTGCACTGTCGCGGTTCGAATCTCGATGAGGGTGTTGAAAAGACCAATGCGAGGTCGAAACTGCAGTCCACTGGGGCCTGGATCAGAACAAGTTTCGCAAGGCTATGTGAAATTCAATGGAAACGTCATCTCAACTCATATCATTGTGGGAAAATTCTACTACCAGCCCTTCATTATCTTATACGAAATAGGGTCAAACATCTCATTACACTGATTTACTGGTAGTCTCGAAACCCTACTCACTTACGAATAGAAGTGGCCAAAGACGGGCATTTCCAGCACTGACCGAAGCAGCAATAGAGACGATATTATATTATGGGACATTGAGTTGATAAATTGCTGATCCAAATGCTCAAGTTTCACTTATTAGCCACGCATCGCCCGGCAGGCTTGGGCAGAAGATGCACATTTGCATTCAACTTCAGCGTGGGCTTTTGCTCACAGTCGGCTATTACGCTAGTTTTATGTAGTTTCACAACTAAAAAATAAAGCGGCTCTCGATTAAATGCAGACTGACCGAGACAAAACGTGGTCGGTCGACAGCGGGTAGATAAGATGAAAACGGGAAATTCTTAAGAGGCAGTCAGACCAAAGTCCGACTGTCTACGTCCAGCATGTGCCCATCAGCTTTTATGCTTTGCTCAGGTCACGGTCAGTTTCATTCAGCAGCTTACTTCGAGGCTAAGTGGCCTCTTGATGGACGAAAGATCTTCATTAAAATGTAATGCAAATAAGCGCAACAGCTTCATGACGGCTGCTTGAACTTGTTGACTTACGTGGGGAAAGGGTGAGCCCAGTCTGTCAAGACGGAGCACAAGGTATCATTGTCCTTTGCCCTCGACTTGTAAACGAGTGGATTAGGCAAAACGACCCGGTATCGCCACTTTGCCCCGGTGGTCCGTTAACCATGTATGCATTGATTGGTACCTTGTGTGTTCATAGTGCTGGTCAAATGGCCATCATATGGCGCCATAGTATCAGGCCCCGGCAACCAGTGGAGCAAAGGCCTTCTCCTTATTTTATAGTCAAAAGAGATTTTATTGCCTCTTATAATTTTATAAAGCAACTAAGCCGACGGGGTGGTTGAGACGCCGGGGTCCCGGTGCCTCGGTCACATGCCCGGCGGCAGATGGGCGAGGAGACGCGGCCACGACCTGAGCCTGTGGGCAGGGGTAGGGCCGGCAAGTGTGTCTCTCGGCCAGAGCCGTTGTACGCCGGAGTAGAGCGTCAGTCAGGCAGCGGTACAGGCGTGTTCGGTACAGATGATCCTGAGCTGAGTAAACAATCGTCACCTGCATCGCTGCAATAGCTCTCCTTCGCCAGCTGGACGTCGTTGACCAACCAGTCGGGCGCCGAGATGAAGACATTTATGTCTTTATCAAAACAATAATGGGAAGGCACATCGAGGCAAGACTCGGACGGGAGAGTGCACAACATGTGGCTCGGCCGAAAGCCACCTGATAGAAACGACTTTGCAGGGCATTTTCCGGAGGCAGCCTAGAGTAGAGGATACATGCTTCAATGCGGAGAGACTTGATTTGGCAGCAAAACTAACATTCGTAAGTTAGTAGGCTTTCGAGACTACCAGTAAATCAGTGTAATGAGATGTATTCACCCTATTTCGTCTAAGGG